TCAAAATTCAATTATTTAGACTACAAAGAGGCGTGGTTCAAAGTGACACATTCATGATATATACTTTTCCATCAAAATTGCCCATCAAACTTTCAAAATGGTTTCAAAATTGGTTCGAATTTTTTGGACTTGACGAAACGATTTTACCTAGTCTTACTCATCAAGGTTTCGAACACTTCAAAAAAGAGGCAAAAACATTTTTAAAGCCTCAACAAAATCTTTTGTTCTAGTTTGCATTAAACCTCAAAGTTTCGTGGATCTTCAGCTGAGATTTCCATTTAATTCAAAATCAAAATCCTCTAGAATTCAAAGAATACAACATCAAAAGAATTGTTAGACGTTTCAAAATTAAATGGTGGTCAAAATTTCATGAAACAAACTGTTATCCTAAGGCAGTAAATTCATGGATACAAGAGCGAAGAAATTTTGGCATTCAAAAGGCCAATTTTCTTCCTGAAAAATCAAGGCTCTTAGCAATGTTAAACTCCAAAAGAACCTCAAATTGTTTCAGAAAAAATTGTAGCCCTTGCTGAAGCCTCCTCAAAGAAATCAAATTCAAAATATTCCTCTTCAGAGTCAGAAGATTATGAATAAAGTAACGAAGATATGTGCTTTGGATATAATATTGATGACTTAATTGAAGAAGACACTTAAAGAAATTCTCCCTCAAGATGACTATATGGACCCAGTTTTCTTGACGATCTTAGAGATTACCTGGTTCACAAATAAAAAGATATGTTTTTTCAAATGTGTTTGCCAGCAAATAAATTATTTCCGCCAGCCTTGCTGACAATCAAAAGATGACAAGCAACTATTATTAAAGCCACTTTAATAAAGAATATCAATTTTCAAAAAGCCGGAGAGGAAGGACAATAATTTTCGAGAGATGGAGAACAAGTGCAGACAGGCTTTTCAATCAAACATTGTGATCAAATGTTCAAGATTCTTGTACTCAATTCAAAAGAAATTTCAAGCTCGAAACTTTAGCTATTTATTGGGCTTCATTATGAGGTTTTGGGCAAAGGTAATTCTAGCATGTCAAGAAAGTTTAGATTCAATCTTGTACTTCTTTTCTTTCTTCCAAAATTGTATTATTTTCAAGTGTTATCAATATAAATTTTCATCTTAAATATCATCTTTCTTTCTTCCAAAATCGTATTATTTTCAAGTGTTATCAACAAATATTTTCATCTTAAATATCATCTTGAAGTATTTTTCATATCCTTCCCTTCTTCCACAACTCGTCCTCTGTCTGGGCCTATTCTGGTATCAGAGCCATAACTGTTTGTTGTGAGAGAGCAGTGTCAAACTACTGTTGTTATAGGTAAAACTAGTGTGTAGCCATAGATGTCTGCTAAATAGAGGTTTGGTCGGCCCGTGTGTGTCGAAGTAGGCCTTTAGGGTGGTCCCCTTTGTAGGCTTTGGTGAAATGTCGATCTATTATGTAGCATTTTGTCTATAGTGGTAAGATATATGTTTCATTTCATATCATTCACTTATGTCTTTCATGTCTAATGAGTTTAGTAAAGGTGGTAGTTCAAAAGAAGAAGATAATATGTCAAATTATTTTCAAGATAATAATGAAGAGAATGATCGAGAAGATAATGCATCTGCATCTACATTTGCATCAAATGATATTAATTCAAAAGAATTTCAAATAGCTCAAATAGAGCAAAAACTTCAAAATTGGACTATCCCAAAGGTAGATAAGAGTTCTATATATGAGATAGAGAATTTTGATTTTACTCGAAGTTATGTTATCAAAATATCGGAGCAAACTATTCTAGTCAAAAATCAAATTGTTTCTATCAATTTACTTTCAAAAGAAGCTATACAAGCCCACATGAAGAAATTTCAATATCTGCATGTTGGACTAGTTCAAATTGCTGTCAAACCCTGGTTTAGACTTGGGTTAGATATCCTTGTTCTCATGACCTTAAGAGATAAGAGACTTTTAAGGTTTAAACATTCGTTACTGTCCATGCTTGAGTCTAATCTTGAAAGTGGTCCACTATTTTCAAATTGTTATCCAAATTTTCTCAATCAGCTTTCAAGATGAAGCTATTCTTAATGCTCTTAATTTTTTGTATTCAAACTAAGAATACACACACACACACACACACACTCCCACCACCAAATTGAATTTTACTTGGACCCGTGCACATACCCTGTCAAGTTGACCGACCGGCCAAATGACGGCATGTGATTGAACTGAACCCAATATGATATATGTCTCCCTCTTTTACGACTAATGTTACCACTTGAGAACCAAATCCAAATGTCAAACTGCTACAATATAAACCAAACAACATTTCTCAAGGTTTCCTATGTGGGACAAGATATAGCAATTCAATCGAACCCTCACTTATAAAAGTTCCAAGTGGGTTTAATTAATAGTTTTCGATAAATAAATATATCATGTTAATCATGTCGTGCAGTAGAACGTAAATATGCTTAATTTCATTGATATTGAGTACGATTCCCAATAAAAAATGAGCTCAAAGTTTCTCACCCAAAACCATTTTTACAATAATCAATCATATGAATAAAATATATCGGATTTTCAGAAAACAATGCAATAGTAGATACAAAAATTGACTATAAGGGAAGAGAGACTACATCGGAATAAGCATAAAAAGCGGAATTTAAACTAATACTCATGACAATTAATCATTGTCTCATCATAGGAATGGTTGGGAATTTTAAATCTCTCTAGTATGTTGAACTTTCTAAAGTTCGATTGTCATATTGAATCTAGATCTTATTATCTTGGGTCAATTAGGTTGGGTTGCCACCATAAAAACTATTGGTTAAATGATAGGTTTTTGCCATCCCCTTAATGAAATTTGGACTTTCTCTCATATCGAATATTTAGTTAGTGGATTCACAATATTCTTCTTTGAGATTTCTTATAATCTATACACATAATATCAATAAAAAATAATTATCTAAAGATATTGTGTCAACGATGTTTATGTCGAGATTTTAGCATTTATGTGATATTATGTGCCATATATTTGTAGATAGCTCTCTCAATATAACAAGCATAGATTGCCACCAATTTAGGAAATCTTTCAAAAAATTTTAGAAGCCATGTGCTTCCTTCTTGCTTTATTTAAAGCTCTAACACAATCTTTCTAATTCTCAAGTTGTAATAGAAAGGCAGAAGTATCCAATAAATTTGTACAGTGTCAAATTTTCTTGTAATATAAAGGCAAAATTTTGTATTAAATTCAACAAAAACACTTGAAGCCACACATATAGTGATGAGGTTAGTGTGGAGGAACATGCACCTGCGTATTTGGAACGCTTCAATGGTCAGCGTTCGAAGAACATGGCATAATTTTGCATACAGTATCCGTTTTGGGGCCCATGACCCCATTTCGGAAAGCTCGTGACGATTCCCATTGAACTCACCGCTTTTCCATGATGTATGAGAGATTTTGGACGTTTGAATTCGTTAGCTAAGTCAAAACGGCACTTAATGTTTCTTAGTTCATTATTTTCAGTATTTATTTATTTTGCTTTTTAGCCCAATCCATTAAGGGATTGCTAGCCCAATGGGTATCTGTTCTTTTAGTATTTAAGACTCTAAAATATCTTGTAGGATTTTTGGGGTCGTTCATGAAATAAGAAAAGCGTTTATTTTCTTAAGGTACAATCCCGTTTGTTAGTGTGTTTATAGATTTGATCTACATCATATAGTCAAACTACGCTTAAGAAAGAGGTTGGAATGAGATTTTGCTGGAAAATGTCATACTTTATGTGGTGCATCTATTAAACTTGTCGTAAAATTGTTGTTTGTCTATCACTTTCTGAAGTATCGAATTTTTTTTTCCTAATAAACTTGAAAACACTTATCTTTGAAACATGTACGAAATGATCAACAAGATTGAACATCGGATTGAATTACCATAAAAAAAAAATCAAAACAGAATAATAATCAAAGCCCACAACATTCATGATGCATCCTTAAAATAAATTTGCTTCCTTCTACGTACACTGCTTAAAGGTAAACATCAATAATCTTCTACAGAACGAATTTTGTCTATTGTGGAAACAACACATCAATCTTTAAGATTTCCAACGAACATAACCTTTTGTTTTGTACTCGAAAATCTCGAATAGAATTCATTGAAGTATTGCATTTATATATTATGGTACTTTTTCTCTCACTAGTTCTTCCAGTCTTCTTATTTTCCATCTGTGATTTCTTAGAGGTTCCTAAAATTTGTTGAGGAATCCTGTGTGATTCTTGTTGCTACAGTGTATCAGGCCTGTAATAATGGATGATTTCTGATTCTGTAGAAGTTTGTTAAGTTTTTGGATATTTTTGGTTAGGGTTTAAGAATTAAGAGATCTTTAGAAGATTGATGATTAAATCTGGACCTCATTGAGTCTCTCATAATGTGTACTCTATCGTTGGAAGATTTTTACCATGCTTAGTATTTGGGCTAATGCCTAAGCCCCCCAGAATAGGCTTCAAGCTGAACTGGGTGAACATTTTTTGGTGTTCTTTTTACTTTCTGCACCATGGTTGTGTATTTATATTTTATCAGTTTATTTTATGGGGTTAAAAACCCCAAGACTTATCATTTTATTATGTTCCTTTCATGCCATATTCATTGATCAACTAATTTTCCTTAAATGCCTTCACTGCCTTGGAAAAAAAATATCGTACTTCATGATTTTTAAGGATATCGTGGTATGTGCATTGAACCGAACATGAATATAACTAGTTTAATATTGTTCAGTTTTTTGCTTACAAGCAAATAAACTAACAAATTCTGTTAGAATTGGGTTGTGACCCGAATTCTTGTTGGATATTTGATTAGAAAAACTGTTGGATGAGTATTGTGAGTTGATAGTAAACTTGAAGGAGTCCAAGGTGAATTTGCTTCCACTATTATTGTTTCCTTCTCCAGTAGCTCTGTATACTAACTATAGTGCAATTGAAACTTTGCTGGAATATTTTGATAGATGTCGCTGGCGTATCAGCGATGCAAATGCAACTTCTCAACAGTGACAAAGTTGTAATCTTTGATCAAACGAATTTTGGTCCATCCAACATCTCACTTCCAAATGGGAAATGCTTGAATGAAGCAAACAACCTTGCCCCGAAAACTGATTGCGCCACCCACTCAGTGGAATACAACATCGCCGCCAACTCCATCCACCCCCTCATGGTCCTCACTAACACATTGTGCTCCTCCGACGCCGCCATGCCTAACGGAACTTTAGTGAAAACGGGTGGTTTTAACGATGGTGACCACAATGTCAGGACCTACAAACCATGTACTGATGATTCTTGTGACTGGCAAAAAAATTACAATGTCCTTAAACAAAGAAGATGGTATGCCACAAATCATCTTTTACTGAACAAAAGACAAATTATTATCGACATTCTGGGCAGTTTAATGATTAATTTTACCCGAAAACCTCCGCTAATAAATCTTACAATTCGCTATTTCTAACTAAAACGAATGATCCAGACATTGAGAATAATTTGTATCCATTTGTTTTTCTGAATGTGGATGTTAACTTGTTCATTTTAGTGAATAATCGAGCTATTTTGTTAAATTATACAGAATGAGAGGTGGTGAAAACTTACCCCACAATTCCAGGTGGGGATCCAAGAAGTTATCCGAGTAGTAGTTATGCTGTCTTGCTTCCACTAAAGAACTTGTATGGGGGGAAATATAGGAGCTAAAGTTTTGGTGTGTGGTGGTGCACCAAAAGGTGCATATGTAAGTGCAATGAACTGCAATTTTGTTCCAGCACTTGGCACGTGTGGAAAGATTCAAATCATTGATGCCAATCCGCAATGGACCATGGAGACCATGCCTTTAGCTTGAGTCATGGTTAACATGGTACTGCTACCAAATGGTAAAGTCTTGATCATTAATATGACATCTGCAGGTACGACAAGGTGGGAATTTGGTTGAAATTCGATTTTGTCACCAATTATTTACAACCCTGATAGTGTAAGTGGATCGAGATTTGAAGTACAAAGCCCAAGATCAATTTCCCGAATGTACTACTCAACTGCGATATTACTTCGTGATAGTCTCATTAGTGGTAGCATCAGTTCCACAAATATACATGTAGTGTTAATTATGCCCAGAATTTTTGATACCAGTTGTTAAAAATTCAAGGATTACGTATCGCTCGATACCACTTGATAGGAAATCAACAACCAGATTGAGACGTTGAAGTTATGTGGCATAATAATAAAGTATTTGATCATAAGTAAAAGAAAAAAAGAAGATGATAAAATATGACAGATGGATTATGAGGATTTATTGCACCACAAATAATGAAAATGGAGAAGTATTACAATGATCCTAAAAGTTAGTAATCACTTTTCTCACATTATACAATCATATAGAAGAGCTTAATATTTATAAAGAACATGTATGAGATGTTCAAACTCTGATAGTAGAGTTGTTAATGAAGTAGGATACCAAAAAATCAAGTCCAAAACAAATTCAAACTCTCAATGGGCTTCCAAAATAGAACTTCAATTTGAAATATGACTCCAATAGTATTCCAAACTGAATTCTTTTTTACGTGTACTTCAATTAAAATTCTTCAATTATTTCAATAAGGAATTCGAGTCACACCCAAATTATAACAATTTCCACATTGACATGAATTCCACTGTAAAGAACAAATCTCCAAAATATTCTCCACTTGGAGAAGAAAATCCGTCTGTAAAGAATGAACAACTCTCCAACAATAATAAAAAATGATTTCTCCAACCAACACAAAATATTCCACATCTTCCAATGAATCCGAGCACTACTCTGCAAAGTTATCTCACATTCCCAAAAAATCGAATGATTTTAAAATTCACTAAATTGGGCTGTAACACACCCCAAAGTATAATCAAACCTAGATGCGTTTAAAGAAGCCCCCTTACTAGATTGTACACTTTACATTGAAAGCATGCTCAGCAAAATCAGTATCTATATACATTTTACCACTAGGTCCGTCCCTAACAATTGAATACAATGGTACCATAGGTGATGGTGTCAAAACGGCATTATCCACATCTCTAGAACTCCACTAAGCTGTATTTTTCAAATCCGACCATTTATGAGCTCCTAAAGGTATTGTACCATACTGAATGTCCACCACGGTACTGAACCTATGCTGATTGACATTTTATGTCCCTCCAATACAATATGAGCACCCTTATAAACATTCAAAAATTTACCTCCACTGAAGATCTCATAACCCTTTGAATCAAGGATAAACAATGAGATGATATTCTTCTTCAAATCCGAAACATGTCGAACCTGGCCAAGTATTCTAATTGTCTCATCCAATAGCTTCAATCTAAGTGTACCAATTCCAACAACCGACAAGGTATATTGTTTCCCATGACCACGACATCTTTGAAAACGGTTTCATATGTAGTAAACAAGTCTCATTAAGACACATATGAAACACACACATTGAATCCAGAATCCAATTCTCTTCTGATTTAGACTCAATGTCAGAAGTAGACAAGAGAACTTCCTCGCTTACATTGTTCTCTGCGAGGTCTGCTTTACCTAAAATCTCTTATTGCTTCCCACATCAACTTGCAGCCAACATTTCTTTATTCTGCAATTTGTAGCAACCCTTCTTCAAATGTCTCTTCTTCTTGCAAAAGTTACAAATCTGATTACTGAACTTAGACTTTGATATGTCCCTTCCAGAACCATCATGAGCAACAAGGTATTCTCCATCTCTGACTTCTAAAACTAGATGTTTCATCTTCTCTTTTGAAAATAAAGTATCATACACTTCCTCTATAGTGAGAGTATGACGACTATACAAGATCATATCTCTAAATAAAGAAAATGAAGTAGGGAACGAACACAATATGATCAATGCCAAATCTTTTTCTTTTGAAAACAAAGCATCATATACCTCCTCTTTGGTTAGTGTATCATTATTATACAAGATCGTGTCTCTACATGAAGAAAACAAAGCGGGCAACGAACACAATATGATCAGGGCCAAATCTTTTTCATCATACTTTACTTTCAAAGTTTCCAAATCAGCGACGATTCTTTAAATACAGTCAGGTGATCTTCCAATGATACTCCTTCTACCATTCGATGAGAGTATAAACGCTGATTAAGATGCAACTTGCTTGTAAGACTTTTAGTCATGCATAATTACTCCAATTTTAACCATAAAGCACTTGTTGAACCCTCTTTCAAAACGTTCTGAAGAATGGTATTCAATAAATGAAGATGAATGAAAAAAATACATTCTTATCCTTCCGTAATTTCTCCTCCACGATCAAAGTTGACGACATATTGTCAATTCCCAACAACTATCATCCAAATCCTGCTGTGCGAATACTGAATACATCTGAACCTGTCATAGCGAAAATCTAGTGCTATGATTCAAAAGCGAAATTTCATAATTCATGGAAGTCATCACGATCAAAAAACCTCGAACAAATCAAATGTTGCTCTTGCAGAACTGTTGAACTTGACTCTGATACCGCTTGTTGTGAAACAAATAAAATACCAGAATAACTCTGATACCAATTGTTTGGAATATAAGGATCATGTATTACTCAACACCACTTGATATGAAACCAACCATCGGATTGAGATGCTGATGTTAGATGACACAATAATGAAGTATTTGATCACAAGTAAAAGAATAAAAGAAGACAAGAAAATATGGGAGAAGAATTATGAGATTTTATTGCACCACAAATAATGAAGATGAAAAAGTATTACAATAATCCTAAAAGCTAGTAATCACTTTTCTCACATTATAAAATTGTATAGAAGGGTCTAATATTTATAGAGAACATGTAAGGGATGTCTAAACCCTCCTAGTAGAGTTGTTGATGAAGTATGATACCAAAAAATAAGTCCAAAACAAATTCTAACTCTTAATGGGTTTCCGAAATAGAATTTCAACTTAACATAGGACTTCCAAATTGAATTCTTTTTTACATGCACTTCAATTAGAATTTTTCAATTATTTTAATAAGGAATTCGGGTCACACCCAAACTCTAACAATACGAGAGTTCTTTTTCCGACTGATTTAACTTTAGAAACATTTTCACCTTCGTATTTGAATTCAACATCTGCAAGTTTGCTCCAAAAAATTGGTTCGCCGACTTCGCAATATAAAATTGGATGTGGGTGACAACTCACTATTTTGTTCACTCTTCCTCTAACAATGGTTGCACCTTCATTTAACATACATTCATTTTTGATGAATCAAAGATTATTGTTTCTTAGTGGAGGGAACACAACAGTAATCGGGTTATCGAAGTATCAAATTCAGGTGGTTACACCAACTTCGAGAAACATCGCAGCACCTGGATACTATCTTTTGTTTGTGGTTCATCAAGATGTTCCTAATGAAAGGCATTTGGATCCAAATAAATTAGCACGCATTCTTTCTTTCTTCCTTTCTAGCAACCTTTGGATTCAGATTGAAAAGTACGTCAACATAATGGGTATTTTATCATTGTTATTTATATGGTAAATGTAAACACGTCTCGATCTTGTTAAAATTGAAGTTGTAAGAAATTTATTTCTATTCAAGAATGCATTTGCAAAGAATTATTTTTCAAACATATCAAACAACATCATTATATGTGTAAGTAGAAAACAGTTTGTAATTATAGGAAAAGAATGTTCTTGGTACTTTATTATTATATATAATGGGCAATAATACTATATAAGATGAAACCCCCTTATTCTCAGTTTAATGACCCGCCTTTTCTGATTTTCAGTTTAAAAATAATATTTACTTTGCATAAATAAGATTATAATGACTAATAATGATTTTTTTCAATAATTCACTCCTTTTGCAGAAATAACTTTTTTACCAATCATGCAAGTGGTTAATTTTTTTTTTTTTTTTGAACTAATATTTTTAGGAAAAATCATGTTTAGTTGATAAATTCCAAATATTACCTTTTATTATCTTCTAGCTTCCAGATTCTAGCTTCTTCTAGTTCATTCTTTAGTTTGTTATGTTGTTAGTTTGTTAGCTACTTTCTCTATAAATAAAATAGTTTGCATTGTAATTTCTCCAAGTTGATTGAATGAAGTGTTCATCTTCTTCCCTGCCATTCCTGCAGGTCTATCCCTTTGTTTCTTCGTTAGTTTCGTTTTTTTAAATTTTAGCTTCAATTTCATATCCTTCCTTTATTTCAACAATGTTCATATTCTAGAACATTTTATTTTTCATTTTTTTACAAGATTAACCCTTGTTTAGTGACAATCAGAGTGTTACACAACATGGGCGGATGTAGAGGGGACTGGACCGGGCCGTGGTCCGGTCCAATCCCCAGCCCACTTCATTTTTTAGTGTAAAATAAAGTATGTAATTTTTTTTTTCTTTTGTGTAATTTTTTTTTACATATTAGGCCGGTTTGTAGTCTGATTCTGGATCTGTTCATGCACAACAATGAAAACTTTTTGAGGATTATTAATAGATTAATTAATTAATATGTAATAGAAAATGAATCTAATCAAATGATTAGCAGTAGGTGAAACAAACATAAAAAGCTTTTAGTGCGAGTCCAGTAGTACCAGCAAACAAACTAAACCCTACGGTTTAGACAAAATATTTTCCCTTCTACATAATTTTTTGTATATATCAAAAACATTTTGAATATATGATACATCAGATTCAACATTGCACGTATACCATTTAAATTTTGGAACAATTCATGCAACAACAGTCGTATGATACGGTGCTGACAAGAAATATAAACAAATTGCAAAATCATAGTAAAACAAGGTCCACCTAATTAATTAACTACTTGAAGTAATTACCCATGAAATTGTTGAACTACCTCATTTAATAATTTTAAATTAAGTGAAAAATTATTTAGGTAAATTATAGAGGCGATTCATGAAGTTTTTAGATGATTTTAGAGATATCCCATCACTTTAAAAATTACACGAATCTCTCTTATTTCAAATTTTGAGTAACACATA